TATAGACCAGGCTGGCCTTGAACTCATAGAGTTCAAGCTTGTCTGTCTCCTCTGCCTCTGCCTTCTGAGTGCTGGGATCAAAGGTATGCGCTACCACACCCAGCCTGGCTCCAGGGATTTCTGAATCTGGCCTCTATTGCAGCATGTCTAAGAGGGCCCGTGGCAGTGGTGTGTGGGGTCAGTGGTCGAATGGTGCTGAATGGCTGTGCACAGCTTTTTTTCCAGGCGGGGGAGGGGGAACTGGCCCAGAGCTTGCTATGAAGGCCAGGCTGACCTCAAATTCATAGAAATCTGCCTGCCTCTGCCTCTAGAGTGCTAGGATTAAAGTCATGGCCTGTGCACAGCTTCTTTATCCCTTTTTCTTCAGTGAATATTAGGTAGTGTCTAGTTTGGGTTCCAGTTACAGTGCTGCCAGGGGGAACCCTCATCAGTGTCCTTGGGTGAACACATGGATTTCAGCTTTGAGATACAACCTTTATTTTGTTTGTTCGTTTGTCTGTTTATTATTTATTGAGACAAGCTCTCAAGTATTACCCTCAGATTCTCTATGTAGCCAAAAATGACCTTAAATGTCTGTTCCTCTTGCCTCTGCCTCTGTGTGCTGCAATCACAGGTGGGCACCACCCACCATGTCCAGTTCATGCAGTGCTGGGGATTGAATCCAGGGCTTCGTGTGCTGGGCAAGCACTGGACTAGCTCAGTTACATCTCCAGCTCCAGCAATCCAAGTTTTAAAGGATCTCCCTACAAGGCAGACAAATTCCCGAGAAGCTGGGAGTTTGTAGCCAGCCTGGACAACACAGTGTTGGAAAAGCAATTCATTTGGTTGTGTGCCTGCTTAGCGAACAAGGAGCCCTAAATTGGATGCCCAGCAGTGCAGAAAACCAGCTGTGGTGGTGCACAGCTGGAATCCTATCTCTTGGGAAGAAGAGGAAGAAGTCTTACAAGCTTGGGGTCATCCTCTGCTACATAGTGAGTGCAAGAGCAGCCTGGACTACTACAGCCTCTGCCACTCAGGGTCCCCACCTGGCTTAACAGCCGTTGCTCTTAGTAAGGAGAACTTGGGCCTGGTGATGACCTGGGGAATGGGGAGACCCCTTCTTTTCAGAGGTGCATTCAGACATGATGGGGCTCCTGCCGGCCTCTAGAAGCTAGCCTGCCTCACACAAGTTACACATAGTCATATGCTTCATAAGTGGGGCAGAAACCATGTAAACAGGTCCCCATTCACCACTGGGGACTCCTCAGTAGCTGTGCAGCTGTAACAAGTCACCTCACTTCTCTGTGTCTCCCTTCCCTTCCTGTAAATCCCTATGGTGACAGTCCTCTCCTAGACTAGCTCCAGCATTGTGATCCTTCTCTTTCTACCCATCTACGAATTTTCTGCATAACTGGGCTTGGGCCCTCCATTATATTCTGTGGTTGTTTCCTTCTCCTCTTTGACTCCATGGTGTATGTTTGCTGTCTCCTTTCCTGGACACACTTTCCCTGGGCATCTCTCTATACTCCCATCCTGACTCCCACCCATCTCCTTAGGAAAAGTTCATACTCAGATGTAGATGACTGGTTAGAGAAGTCTATATACTGGTGGGCAAGGGGGAACGAGAGGCAGGGACCCTCCCTCTCTTCGAGCTGCTGGATGTCTGCAGGGTCAGTCTCCTAGGAAACTCACAGCAGCTCCACCCAGAAGGCACTTTTTTTTTTCTTTTGAGACAGGGTTTATTGTATAGCCTTTGTTGGAACTCATTCTATGGATCAGGCTGGCTTGAACTCAGAGATTGCCTATCTCTGCCTCCTAAGCACAGGGATTAAAGGTGTGCACCACCATGCCTGGGAAGCATTTTTGTCTGTTTGCTTTAGAGATCAAGACAGTGAGGCACAGAGAGGCTTTTTATAATTTCCCCAGGTCCCCCAGCCAGTGAAGGCCATCTGTGAGTCTGGGCACTCATGGGGTCGTTCAGCTTTGGGTTGAGGCAGCCAGCTGAGGACCTGGACAAATGGCAGCTGGAAGTACCCCATGGATTTCTGGTGTACAGATGGGGTTGGCAGTGCCACTGGGAGAGGTAGGGACTTTCTGGGGCCACTGACCCTTCCCTGTACACAGTAGGCCCTGTGGGTCCCATGTTCCTGGGCTTGCACAGTGGGCCCTTTCCAGGCTTCGAGGGACAGGAAGGGAGGGGGTTCACCCTGGCCAGCCCACTGAGACTGATCAGTGTATAGGGTCCCTCCTCCTAGTACCCGCAGGTCTCCTAAGCTCAGTAGGGGGAGGCTAGAGTCCTACCATCAGGAATCTGGGGTACAGTAGCTCTGTCCAAGAGGTGCTAGGGAGTGGGAAAGTTTTCTGCCTGTTTCCACCCTCAGAGGTCACTGGCACCCACCCCTCTCACCATTCACACACCCATTTCACAGACAGGAAGATGAGGCTAATGCAGCCAGAACATGGCCTATTGGGTCTAGAACAGTCCTTGAGGTAGCTAGGTCTTTGTCAGGGGAACAAGGGACTCCTTATCCCCAGCCCTCCCTGAGCCGGCTGGCACGGCTAGGCCCCTTGGCCTCCACTGGCCATCAGAAGTCGGATTGTCCATGAAAGGGAGGTTGCCGGCTGTCTAGTGGATGTGTGGGGCTGCATCTGGTCAGAGCCAGGGGTCTGTTTGCCAGTGTGGTTAATGGGCTGTGGTGTGAAGACATTCCTCTGTAAGAGCTGGAGAAGGGTGGTGGGAGGCAGCTGGTGGCTGCTACGGATGGGGGAGGGGGAGGAGTCAGAGCCTGGGTTGTTGGGGGCTGCCCTGTAGACTATGGGCTGCTCAGGCCTTTACTGGGTAGAGAATGGAAGATGAGGTGATGGCTGCTGTGTCCTGCAGGACAGCCAGGATGGTGGGTATCCTCACCCCATTAGGGAGCCGTGTAGATAGTGGATGGAGTCCTGGTTGGGGGACCTACCCCCAGCCCTGTATACCATGCTCTCCTCCCCAGCATGGAGTAGACCAGATAGACACCTTGAATGGGTCCTAGCTCTCTCTGGCCACAAGAAACTTTTTTCTTTTCTTTTCTTTCTTTCTTTCTTTTTTTTTTTTTTTTTTTTTTTTTCTTTTTTTCTTTCTTTTTTTTTTTTTTTTTTTTTTTTTCTTTTTTTCTTTCTTTTTTTTTTTTTTTTTTTTTTTTTCTTTTTTTCTTTCTTTTTTTTTTTTTTTTTTTTTTTTGAGACAGGCTTTCGCTGTGGCTTTGGAGCCTGTCCTGGCACTCACTCTGGAGACCAGGCTGGCCTCGAACTCACAGAGATCAGCCTGTCTCTGCCTCCCAAGTGCTGGGATTAAAGGCATGTGCCACCAATGCCCGGCTGGCCACAAGAAACTTACCTGCCCTGTGCTTCTGTTTCCCCTTCTTTATGAAAAGACCATGGTTTGTGGTTGAGCAAGGGCTTCCCAACATAGCTGATGGAGGCCTTGGGTCCCAGTTTGAAGTCCCTAGATAGATTGTGCCAGTCTTATGCACTGTGCAGTGCCAGGCACTGCACAGCCACTTGGTTTTTACTGGACACAGAGGAAGTCACTGTTTAAAGAGGAGGAATCTGAGCCGGGTATTGGGGAAGCCTTGCTTAACCATAAAAGCGATCTTGCCAAATCCCTGCACTCCCAAACTATACTCTCATGGACTCAGGTACCCCCAAACCCTGTGCCCCCAGTCTCGGGCTGCCCCTGAGAAGTCACTGGGCTCTGCTCTTTCCTTTGTGTCCCAGTGAGGAGAAGGGACTTGCCCCCTGTCATTCAGTGACCTAGGGACGGAACAGTCCCAGTCAAAGGACTCATGCTGTCCCACCCTCCCACCCAGCCTAAGTTTGGGGACCTCAGTTGTCCCTCCCCACAGTGGGGAGACCCTCCAAGCAGTGAGGAGACCTGATGAAGTGACCCTTCTTCACAGGACTGTACCTGCCCTGCCTGTGGGGCCTCCTTTCTTTTTGAGACTGTGGGATCCTGGAGCTGGGGGACTACATCTCCAGAATCTGGTTCAAGGATCATATCCATTCTCTCATTCTCTCCACCTACCTCTCTCTGTCTCCCATGCCCCAGAGGCTAGGGGCCGAAGGTACGGCAGTAAACAAACAGATGAAATGTGTCCCCTCAGGGGACTTGCATTCCTAGTAAGGGACAGACAGTGAATGCAGTAACAAACATAATAAGAAGCAAAAAATGCCCTGTCCTAGATGGTGGCATCTGATACAGAGAAGCAAGGAGGTAGGGGCAGGGCAGGGGATAATGCCATTTTAACAAAGTGGTCCTGAAACTGCACTATAAGGTGACATTCAAGTCTTGGAGGAGGTGAAGTGAGCCTCGATGGTATCCGTAGAAAGAACATTCCAGGTGGAGGGGACAAGTGCAAAGGCCCCGAGGTGGAAGCATGCCTGGGGTGTTTGAAGCATAGTTTAAGGCTGGAGGTGTGGCTGGAGTAGATAGAACAAGGGAGAGAAGCACGGTGGGGGGGGGGAGTCTAAGGGGGACCATGAAGGCAGCAGATTACAGGGGGCCATTGAGGCCATAGGCCATAAGCCTGGACTTAGGCTTTTGCTCTGAGTGAGCTGGGAGCCATGGAGAGTTCTAAGTAGAGAGCCAGCAGGAACTAACAGGATGATGGAGTTTTGAGCAGATGGTGGGGGAGGAGCTCTGAGCATCTGGAGGCTCCTGGGGCACTCAGAGGAGGCGTGGTGCGGGCTGGGCTGGGGAGGGGCAGGAGAGGAGGACGGAGCTGGGGCCAGGTATGAAATGCTCAGGATGGGAATGTGACTGCTGCCAGGGGTTACTTTGAAGGACAGAGTCCTCGCTTTGGTCCAGGAGTCAGGGGACTTGGGCTCATGGCTCAGCTTGCTCAGTGGCCTTGGGCAAACCCCTTCTGTCAGGACTCAGTTTCTTCTTATGTACAATGGGAGCAGCCAAACTTGTGCCAGCCCTCGTTTAAAGACTGCGAGGGTGATGACTACTTCATGGACCTGTCTCCTCTCAACTGCAGGGAGCCGGAGCCGGCAGCTGCCATGGCGTCACGCATCGGGCTGCGCATGCAGCTCATGCGGGAGCAGGCGCAGCAGGAGGAGCAGCGAGAGCGCATGCAGCAGCAAGCCGTCATGCATTACATGCAGCAGCAGCAGCAGCAGCAACAGCCACAGATGGGAGGCCCCCCTACCCCAGCCATCAACACCCCAGTCCACTTCCAGTCACCACCGCCTGTACCTGGGGAGGTGCTGAAGGTAGGGCCTCTGCCTCAACTTGACTTCCGGCCCTGCTCTGTGAGTCCTAGCCCCCTCTACAGCTGTGCATTCACCTTTCCCAGGTGCAGTCCTACCTGGAGAACCCCACCTCCTACCACCTGCAGCAGTCCCAGCACCAGAAGGTTCGGGAGTACCTATCGGAGACCTATGGGAACAAGTTTGCGGCCCACATCAGCCCTGCCCAAGGCTCCCCGAAGCCTCCACCGGCAGCATCCCCCGGGGTGCGGCCTGGACATGTACTGTCCACCTCAGCCGGCAACAGTGCCCCCAACAGTCCCATGGCCATGCTACAAATCAGCTCCAACCCTGAAAAGGAGGTGAGTGAGGGCTGCCGGCTTGCTGTCAGTTGTGGCACTTTGGAAAAGCCTGGTTTTAACGGCAGAAGTGGAGCTGTGTCTTCAGGGAGCTCCAGTCTGAGGGAGACACAGTCCTGCCCCCAGGGAGCCCAAGTCTGAGGAGAGTTACCATCTTACAAGTTCTGCTGGGGATAGGGCACACTCACAGGAAAGCTGGCACTCTTTTGGCCCTGGATAATTGTGTCAGGAACTCCCTGGCAAGGGGCTCCTGGGGACAAGCCTAAACTGGCCTTAGGCTCATCTGTAGGAGCCTTCTCCAGTCCATTTCCTCCTCCAGATGAGCAGGTTGGGTGAGGTGGTGTTGTGCTAGGTGAGCGGCTGCCCCCCTTCAGGTGGGCCACCCCCAGATGAACTTTTCTCTCTTCTAGTTTGATGATGTCATTGACAACATTATGCGGCTGGACAACATGCTGGGCTACATCAACCCCGAGATGCAGATGCCTAACACGGTACTCTCGGGCTGAGGGTGGGGCGGTGGCCCACACAGTGGTCCCCGGACTGGAAAGAGATCTCAGAGCAGAGGGGTATCTCTGTGGAGTCAAGAGTCATCTCCATCAGATATTGTGACTAGGACTCAGACCTTGAGTAGAACTGAATCCAGAAAGATAAGCTGGGTGTGGTTAATTCCAGCACTTGGGAACAGAAGCAGGTGAATCCCTGGGAATTCGAGGCCAGCCTGGTCTACAGAGTGAGTTCCAGGGCAATTAGTTGGAGCTACATAAGAGAGACCTTGCCTCAGAAGGAAAGACAGAATGCCACAGCCTTGGCCAGTGTGTGTGATGGGGCAGGCTCAGGGAATTCCCTGAGTGGGGTAGAGAGGAGCAGGGAGAACCTTCCCGGAGCAGCAGTGTGCCCTGAGGACGATTCCTGGGAGGGTCTATGGCTCTCCTCTGCTGTGCGCAGGGCCCAAGGTCTGTGTTACTCATTCGGTAGGGATGGCCTTGTCCCCAACCACAGGACCCCTTCCTCTGACAGTCTTTGTCTGCATGACCATTCTATGGTCTCATTGGCTTGCGTGGGTAGCAGATGAGGAGTCAGGCTTAGAATCAAGAGACTGGGATGCTCTGTCATGCCCTTGGGAAGTTCCCCCACCATTCTGACTCCCTGTCCCCTCATCTTCAAAATGCTGGGGTGATGCCATCTACCACAGGGTTGTGGAAAGATTAGAAGGGACAAAAAGAGAGGGTGGGGCTGGAGAGATGGCTCAGTGGCTAGCAGATTGAACAGCTCTTGCAGAGGACCCGAGTTTGGTAACTCACAGGCATGTTAGTGATATATAACTCCAGCTCCAGGGATCCAACGCCCCCTTGTGGACTCTATGGCTGCCTGCACAAACCTGTGTGCTGACACAGACATACACACAAAATTTAAACATAAAACTAAAAATAAAACTAAAACAGAGGGTGACAAGAGTTAATTCCCAGAAGGCAGACCTGCCAGAGACTGGAGCCCACCACCTTTCTTGGGTCTCACCTGTTTGCTGTGAGTCCTTTGGCTTGAGCAGAGTATTGCCATGGCACTGGGAGAAAGTCCTGGAGAAGGTAGAGTCCGTCTTCAGTCCCTTCTGCTCTGGTGACATTGCCGGGTGGTTGAGCAGGAGGCAGAGCCAAATTCAGTTGCTAGTAGGCACTAGTAGGAAGCTAGCCAGGAGCAAGCAAGGTTCTTCAGTTGGTTTTTCAGTCTCCCTCAATGGTTCCTGTCTACACTGGGAGTCTCTAGGCCCGTGGCTGGCTCTTGCCTGGCTCTGTGGTGGCGGATCTTTTCCAACCCTGCTGTAATGTCTTCCATGCTCCTGTTCTGTTGAATTCCATAGTCTCAGAAAAACTCAGCTCCCAAATCAATTGAGCCCCTCCCTGGGGCTTCTACTGCAGGAGCTGTTCTGCTCCTCCTCCACCCATCCGCCCTGGCCAGGGGCTCCTGAGGGCAGGGCTGTGCAGGGCCACACTTTCCAAAGCAAAGCCTTTTACAACGAATCCTGGAGAAGGGACTCAGGGGTAATTTTAACACTCCTGAGAACAGCTGCTCCTGTCTGGCACCATGGGTCCTGGTGAGGACTCACCAACACCCCCTCCACTCCTTCCCCAACAGCTACCGCTCTCCAGCAGCCACCTGAATGTGTACAGCAGTGACCCCCAGGTCACAGCCTCCCTGGTAGGCGTCACCAGCAGCTCCTGTCCTGCTGACCTGACCCAGAAGCGAGAGCTCACAGGTACTGCAGTCCCCTCCCCTGTTCCCTTGGGGGGTCCCCTTCCTTCTTTTTTTCTCACTCCCTCCTTCCCACCATCTCTGTCCCTCTCTGGCTTCCAGATGCTGAGAGCCGGGCCCTGGCCAAGGAGCGACAGAAGAAAGACAATCACAACCTGAGTGAGTCCAGCTCCTTCCCTCCCCATCTGACTAGGGCTGAGAAGCCAGAGCCTGCTCTACTCCCCACCCAGCCCTGTGCCAGCGTCTTTAGTTCTGGACATGCTCTAACTAGGCCAGTGGTTCTCAGCATGTGTGTCTCGACCCTTTAGGAAGGAGGTCAACTGACCCTTCCACATGGGTCGCAAACTAGATATTCCACTTATCAGATATTCATATTATGATTTATAACAGAAGCAACATAGCAGTTATGAAGTAGCAATGAAAGTAATTTTATTTTCATTTTATTTCAACATGAGGAACTGTATTGAAGGATTGCAGCTTGAGGAAGTTTGAGAACCATTGCACTAGGTCTTTTTAGGAAACTGGGAGGGGCTGCTGAGAGGAGTTGTCTTGAATTTTCCAGTCTATCAGATTTTATTCTTCAGGGCCTGGGGCAATAGGAGTGGAGATGGCCCCAGGCAGTCTTTCGTTTACTAAAGTTGATTAGGTCTCCTGACCCCGCCCCCTAATTGTCTAAACTGCCTCTGACCCGCCTCAGTCTTCAGCCCCTGCCTGCAGATTCCTTCCTTCCTTCCTTCCTTCCTTCCTTTCTTTCTTTCTTTCTTTCTTTCTTTCTTTCTTTCTTTCTTTCTCTTTCTTTCTTTTTCTTTCTCTCTCTCTCTCTCCCTCCTCCCTCCCTCCCTTCCTTCCTTTTCTTTTTTTTCAAGACAGGGTTTCTTTGGAGGCTATCCTGGAACTCACTCTGTAGACCAGGCTGGCCTCGAACTCACAAAGGCCTCTGCCTCCCAAGTGCTGGGATTAAAGCACCACACTGGGCCTAGGAGCCCTTTTATTCTAAACTAGGATTTTCTATGGGGTGCCCACCCTAGGTTGGGGGTTTCTCTCAGGTGGGCCCCCCTTTCTAACCACACCCCTGAAATCTTAATCTGTAGTTGAAAGGAGACGCAGGTTCAACATCAACGACCGTATCAAGGAATTGGGAATGCTGATCCCCAAGGCCAACGACCTGTGAGCAGGGCTCTGCAGGGAGGGGAAGGGTCTGGGCTGGGCGGCAGCTGCAGCTCTCAGTTGCTAAGGGCAGTGGTGCAGGTAGCATGTTTGAGAAGAGCCGTTCCTGCCTCTTCGGGGTCAAGACCGCTTCTGTTGGGAAGGCCTGGGGTAAAGGAGGGACTTCCTAAAGGAGGAGTCATGCTGGGAAAGTGTCAGAAGGGCCCTGGACTGATGGAGAGGAGAGAGATGCAGGGCAGAAGTGACAGCTGAAGACAGGGAGACGGGTATGAGTTGGGCAGGCTGCTCAATCCCAAGGATTAGGGAGGAGCCTGTTGTTCCTGTAGACAAACCTCTTTTACTCAAGGCCAGGTATGGGCAGGGGTGGGGGCAGCTGGGACTCTGAGTGTCAGCCTAGTGTCAGAGGGACCCAGCCAGGCTTCTGGGTGCACATGCGCCTCTGACTCCACGCTGTTGTGGCTTCAGGGATGTGCGCTGGAACAAGGGCACCATTCTCAAGGCCTCTGTGGATTACATCCGGAGGATGCAGAAGGACCTGCAGAAATCCCGAGAGCTGGAGAACCACTCTCGGCGCCTGGAGATGACCAACAAGCAGCTCTGGCTTCGCATCCAGGTCTGGCCCTGACTTTGGACTCCTTGGGTGACAGGAGTGGGTAGAGCATAACCATCTGAAGGGGGAGGGAATGAAACTGTGTCTGCTGGGATGTGACACCTCAATGAAAAGTGGACCCCGCTTCCTCTAAGCAGCAAACACTAGCAGGCTCTGTTACGTGACACACTCATCCTGCAGTCCACACTGGGGGACCAGGCAGGTCTAGCTCTCCTAAAGTCAGGTAGTCATGTGTTGCTCACTTTAAAAAAAATTTATTTTCTGAGAGATGGGAGTTCTCTTTGTACAGCAGGCTGCCCTGGACATTATAGTCCTCCTGCCTCAGTTTCCCAAGTGCTGGGATTACAGCTCCGTGCCACCATGCCTGGATCTGTAAATCTCTTTAAGGCACCACAGTCACTTTTGCTCACATATACGTGGGCAATTCAAAGTATGCCCTGCACCTAACCTCGAGGAAACAGGAATAACTGCCCTGCCCTGGGTGTCTGGAAGGTAGAGTAGGGCAAGGCAGTACTGGGGATCAACAGGCTTCGTGCAAACTGAAGAACAGGCCTGAGAGTCAGCACCCTGCTGGAGCTGTGACTCCTGTTCCTGGTTGTATTGAGGACCAGCCTCAACCAGTGGTTCTCAACCTTCTTAATGCTGCGACCCTTACTACAATTCCTTATGTTGTAGTGACCTTCCACCACAAAATTATTTTCATTGCTATTTCAGAACGGTGATTTTGCTACTGTTATGAATTGTAATGTAAATATTTTTGGAGATGGAGGTTTGCCAAAGGGGTTCCGAGCCACAGGTTGAGAACCACTGCTCTCAACAGGCTGACTGGACCACAGGTTTTAGTGTTTGATTGCTCCCACCTTGCACACGGACACTTGAGTGGATAAAATTCGTCCTTACTGGATGCAATGTCTTTTGATAATTTCCATCCCCACATCACCCAGACAAGTCTATTTCAATTTAAACTTTTGAGAGAAAGCTGGCCCAGGTGCTCTGTGGTGACTCCACAGACCGCTGACCCTCTGTGACTTGAAGAGAGATCCTGGTCTAGAGTCAGGCTGCCTCTGCTTTCTTCTCCTCCAGCTGAGACAGTGTGTGCTCTGGAGTGTCACAGGGGCGGGACAAGTGGTGCCGCAGTGTACAGGGAGGGCTAGCCTGGTATGTGTATCTTATCACCCTGTCCATCCCCAACAGGAGCTGGAGATGCAGGCTCGGGTACACGGCCTTCCCACCACCTCACCATCGGGTGTGAACATGGCTGAGCTGGCCCAACAAGTAGTGAAGCAAGAGCTACCCGGTGAAGACGGCCCAGGGGAGGCTCTGATGCTGGGGCCTGAGGTCCCTGACCCTGAGCCGATGCCGGCGCTACCTCCCCAGGGCCCACTGCCCCCAGCTGCCCAGCCACAGTCCCCTTTCCATCACCTGGACTTCAGCCACAGCTTGAGCTTTGGGGGTGGGGGTGATGAGGGGCCCACAGGCTACCATGATCCCCTGGGGACAGAACATGGCTCCCCATTCCCCAACCTGTCCAAGAAAGATCTGGACTTAATGCTCCTAGATGACTCCCTGCTACCCCTGGCCTCCGATCCCCTCTTTTCTACCATGTCCCCTGAGGCCTCCAAGGCCAGCAGCCGACGGAGCAGCTTCAGCATGGAGGAGGGTGATGTTCTGTGACGCTGGCTGCCCCTGTGCCGAGGAGCAGGGGCTGCCTGGGGGCTGGGAGGACAGGGCAGAGCCCTCCCACCCTTCAGGCTGCACTTGGTGTGAGGTAGCTGCCTACCCTGCCCGTCTTTCCCTTCGGTTGGCCCCTGTTTGGACTTAGTGCCTGCCTGGCAGCCAATGGGCTGGAGAAGCCCTCCCGTTCGGCTTAGGAGCCCCCTCCTCTGGGGGCAGTACTTTATGAATTGTGGTGGGGAAGAACAAGGGTGAGGGGGTGAGGAGTAAGAAGAAACCCCGGTAGGGGAGCCCTCTCTTCTGAGCCTGCTCCCCCAACCTCCCCGTGAAGGACATTTTGGAGAAGGAGGTATAAAAAGCATCTCTGGGCAGCAGTGGGTCTGGGGGTGCCCAGGCCTGCTTTCCTGGGACTAGATGGCACCCAGCCTGTCCCCCAGACTGATACGTCCCCCACAGATGGGGCACCCACCCCCCTTTGGTGCTAACAGCTCTCCCCTGGTGGTATGAGGGTGGGGTGGCCAGAAGAGGAGTCTGGGTCCAGGGTGGAGAGCACCCGGCCCCCAGACCTCCCACTTTGTGCCTTTAGTAAACACTGTGCTTTGTACCATGTTGTCCTGGCTCTGCGGTATATGTGGCCTCAGCCGGAACCAACCCAGTCGGCCCCTTCCCGGGTCCAGAATTCAAGTGCTCCATGTGGGGGCTGGAGGAGGTTCTCCTGAATTCAGCTCCAAGGGAGGAGAAACAACCTTTACATCGTGTGGCTGAGGACATTGTGTCTCACTGATGCCACGAGGTGGCACTGCAGCTATGCTGGTCCCACAGCTCCAGCTATGGTCCCAACAGCTATGCTTGCTCTTGGATATGAACAGGTCTGCTCTCCGCAGCTTCCCTCTGTGTGTTGCTCTGGCTGGCCCGGGTTCTAGTGGGGCCCTCAACATTCTTCCCTTGTCCGGGTAGCTACAGACCATTTGGAGGGGACCACCAGGCTGTATCCTCTTGGCTATGGGGAATCGATGGGAGCGGAGAACCCTGGCTGGGAGTCTGAGGTGCGGGCTCACCTCCGCTCTCCAGCACTGTCCAGTAGTGGGGTTTCAGAACACCTTTGCTCCGGGTTCTGGGGTGTCAGACCCTTTCCCTGGATAGGGAAGCAAACCTGATTCCCCAGCAGGGCCTTTGTAGGTTTTGCTTAGTTCCTTGATTTTCAAAACTCTTCTGTCAGGGACCAAAATGGCTTTGTCTTCAAAGGGTTCTAAAAGGCCAAAGAAGCCTAATATAAAAGAATTTTTTTTTTAAAAAAATTACCAGGATGAAGATGGTTAGAGGGCAATTTGCTCTTCGAAGAATGAGAGATCAAGCCAGCATTGGAGCAATTAACGTGTGGAGAAGGGTGCCAAACAGTGTGGGCGAGGTGGCCCTGGGTTGGCTGGGCTGAAAGATTAGTCTCAAGGTCGGATGGAGCTGTGGATGACCTTGTACAGCCTGAGCCCGCCTGGGCACAGCTCCTTCCACTTCAGGGCCCTGTTCCATTGCCTGGTACCTTTCCTCCCTAAGCCCTCCCTCTGAGACCCCTAGCTTGAACCCTGAACTCTGGTTGAGGTCAACAGGAGCCTGGGATGTGGGGTCCACAGACTCTGGGGCCAGCACTTCCAGGGGTTGGTGGATCTGGTATACCCAGATCCTTGAGGAGTGACTCGGAAAGCTGCCTTTTACGTCCTCATATAACTCCTTAACTAACCTAAGCTCCCCCCCCCCCAGTCACCGAGGCTCGCATCTTCTGGGTCTCAGAGTTCCTCTCTTTTGTTCACCACCTGCTGCGTGGACAGTGGGTCAAGAGGGCACGTCAGACAGGACCAGGGTGTGAGTGGGATTCTGTCCACACGAGGGCGCAAGACTCAAGCATCGGTCTGAGAAGTCAGTCTCGGGACTGAGCAGTCTGTCCACACTTCCTGGGTGGCTTCCCTCCTGCCAGGGGCTGCTGCATCTAACTTCAACCTAGATGCTGCCTCCAGCCCTTCAAACCACCAGAAAATGGGTATCAGAGACTGGCTGGCAAGATCCTTACCTGCGGCTGGAAAGCAGTCAGGCTGGGGGTTACGACTCTTCCCAGTAAGATAGGGGGCTCTGTTTCTTCATCCTTAGATGATGGATTTGTCTTGTTAAGGCCGAGTACAAAGATGGCCCCGCTGACCCTTTCCTTCCAGGAGGGAGCCCCCTTTAAGGCCTCGGGGACAAAGTGTGGTGTAATGAGGTCCCAGCAGCCATAGCTTCCTTGGGTCCCATGTGGCAGGGCCCAAGGAAGGAGCTGGTGGAGCAGAGATGGGGCACATGTATAATATCCTGTCCCCTGGCCCTCAGCTCCAGTTCCCATGTCTGTCTGTCTGTCTGTCTGTTTGTCTGTCTGTCTGTCCATACCAGCTGCTCCCTCTTCCCTGGTTACTGGTTCTGGATTGCCTGTCGTCTACAGGGACAACTGGGACTTCAGAAGGTCCTGCTTGGCGTTTGCATCCCCACCATTCTTTTAAGTTTGATTCTTCATCTGCTGTTTTGTGGCCTTTAACAAGTGGAGGGTGTGAGGCTACTACTGCTACATACTGCTACAAACACAGAGACACATTCCTGACTTCAGTTACACCTGCCCCCTGCCCACCTCAAAGTCTAACTCTTCCCCTGCCCTCTGAGCGCCCCAGCTGGTCTTGGGGCAGTGGAAAAGCCCCTTTAATGCCCTTCCTGCCCCACCTCACAGGGCCTTCAGACCCATGGTCCTGCTCCCACCCACCTTGGTGTCTTCCATACTCATCCTTTCTTTGCTGTCTCTTTTCTGAGGGGGGCAGTGGAATTTATACAATATTTAAGCAGCCAGAGCCGGGTCCTGGAAGATATTATTAATGTGGAAGGGATGGGCCGCAAATGCTTCTGGACCTGGTTACAATTAGAGGGTGATTTTTCTAAAGGTCAATGAATTCAGATAATATCCACAGGGGGGAGAGAAATTTAATACCTTTTTAGTGAATTAATTAATTATAATATTATATCGGCTTGGGGTTCTTTTCCAGAGTGATTAAGGCAGCGATCTGTCTTCTGTGAGCTCCCTGCCATGAGGACCCTGTCATGGGCTTGGCGACAGGGCCCTTCACTCTCCTCTCACCAGGCAGGTGGGGGTTGGGGAGGAGCAGAAAACGCTGAAGGGCGGCAGCAGGTGGGATAAACTGCAGCACCCTGTTCCTCATCTTGCATCCCCAGCCTGCTTCCTGCTGCATCCAGCCTCATCCCACAGTGACTAGAGGAAAATCCGTTACACTTGGGGAAACTGAGGCTCATGGACTTCCACATCTTGCCTGAGCATGATGGCTGCCAGGCAGAGCTGGCTAGAAACTCCACTCTCCATCCATCCCCTAAACCAGACAATCTGGACCACAGACCCTCCATAGGGAAAGTTCCAATGTGGCTTTCTGCTCTTCCTGTCACAAAGTGATTACAGGATATGGAGTGTGCCATGAGGCTGCAGGCTGGTGAAGAGGAGCTGAGATCTCTGTCCTGCGGAGACCTGAGCACACACATTTGTTCCTGTCTTCAGTCACACAGTCATTCAACAAGCCTTCAGGGCACACTACTTTGTTCCGTGGGAGACAGGCTGAAGTTGTCATCCTGGAGTCCCAGCCATTCATGGACACTGGGTTGAGCAATCACTGGGAACTGGTGCTGTCTGGATAGCCTTAGGGGGACAAAGGACAGACATGTAAGCTGGGGACATGGTGGGGACACAGACATGTAAGCTGTAAGTGATAGCGGGAGCAGAGTTGGCAGTGAGCTGAGTCTCTAGGGACCAGGTTGGCAGGAGTGCTCCCCCTGTAGGAGGAGGAAGGGAGCACTCTAGGTATGGGACTCCAATTGTGCAGTGAGGCCTGAAGGTGCTGAAGTCAAATGGGTGAGGATCCCTGCAGATGGGGCCTGGCAATCTGAGGCCAGGTTATGGCTGCTTCTGTCCACTCACATCCCAGATGTGTTGACTGAGACTGTTCCACGAGGCCACAGCATGTGGGTGGAAAGCCAGAAGCAGCAAAGCCAAACAGACCTGCATTTCATAGTGGACTCTGCCTCAGCCAGCTGCATGACAATCTGTGCCTCAGTTTCCCCTTCTGTGATGGAGATCTATAACCACTCAGGCTGCTTTAGGAACTAAATGAGGACTGAAGAGGAGCTAACGCTGCTCTGAGCTTGCCTGACATCCTGGGGGTGGGTGGTCACTGCCCCACCCCCACCTCTCTTTTTTTTCAAGGGGGTACCAGTGGAAGCTCAGGTTAGGGGTGTTCTTTGTCGGGGGACAGACTTTTTCCTTGGCTCTGCTTTTTTCTTCTCCCTGCCCCTGTCCCTGTCCCTCAATGCCCTCCTTGGCCTGGCTCCCCCTCCCAGCCCCTCCCCCACTGGCTCACTCTGTGTGCGGCAGGCCAGGGAGGGCCTTCCCATTGTACTATCTTTGGGCCCTAAATTAAAATTGATGACATCTTGAAATGAGCAGTGAGGGTAATTTTGCTTCAGAGCCGGGATGCTAATGAGGCCCCTTAATGGTGCAAAAGCTGAGCTGACGGGTCGTGTGTCACACGCAGCAGCTAGGGGGGTAATGGCCACGGTAAGTGCTGGTAATTACACCCTGTCTTGCTGTATTTTGGCAGGCCTGGTGGGAGAGCAGAGGCTCAATCACCACTGGCGGGGACACCCCCACCCACCATGGGACTGACAGCCAGGGATACCCCCTGGGCCCAGCCAGGCCCCCTCAAATCCAGCCCCACGTAGAATGAGGGTCTTGGCCATAGCCTCCAACACAGGCGCTGCAACACACAGTAACAGCACTGGACACCCCTCGGCCTTGCACATTCATCCCCAGAACCTGGGCATGCTCCCTGTGCGGTCATGCAACGCACATGGTGCTGTGCGAACGAACGCACAGCTTGACCACTGTGCTCTCCGTGAACACACAAAACTGTGTAGAGGCACATGCAAACCCACACAAAATCGCCTTCTCAGATATGAGCATGCAATGAGTGCCTAGGAGCTCACCTAGGAGCTCTCGCCCTCCCAACCAACTGCCTCTTCCCACACTTCTCTCTCCCCGCCTCCTCTCTGTCTTTTACACAGTCACTTTATTTACGCATGGATTGATTTCTTTTATTTTCTGTGCTTATGTGTTTTGCCTGCATGTATATCTGCTCTATGTGTGTCTTGTGCACGAGGAGACCAGAAGAGGGCATCGCATCCCCTGGGACGGGAATTACAGATGGTTGTGAGCTGCCACAAAGCCCCCAGGCTCTTGTCCTGTGGGCATCCTGCCTCTTCCAGGCTCTGAGTTAACAGCATGGACTTGGTCTGACTGCCTGGGTTCTCCATCTAAGTCAATAGAAATGTGCTGTTACTCAGCCTTTGCCTCCATTTCCTTATCTGTAAGTTGGGGGGTGCTAAGGGCATCTGGATGTAGACACAGATAAGTGAGTTTATAGTTGCCAAGCACATGGTGTCTGGCACAACTTCACTAAGTGTGTGGAGAGGTTGTGTCCTGGCAAAGAATGCTCTTCAGGATGGGACAGGCACCAAGGAGCAGGCAGTGGGAAG